ACCTTCCCAGGCCATTAACATTTCATGCTGCACCAGAGCCTCCAAAGCTTCATAACAGTACACGGATTTGTGCAACGCTTGTACATAATAATCCATGGCCAAACCACGATTATCCATTGCCTCGTAAATTTTACCTTTCAGGAAACTAATTGAGGCTAAAATTTCCTAAAATACAATCGAGAATTAATAATTTGATAGTATATTCAGCAAACTTGCAATGAACATACATTTTTACATCCCTCTTCGCCGAACAACAAACTTGGTCCATCCATACCACCACCATCCAATGGTTGATTGATTAATGACGATGCCAAATATTCAATATCCACCGTATTAATGACCACAATAGCTTCGTTGTATTCTTTCGCCTCGTACAGACATTCCAACAATAGATTATAGCACGGTATATGAGTTTTTTCCAATTTATGGTAGCGTATTGTGTGTGCAGCGCGATGGTATTCCTTTAGTAGGAACATACACTGCGCCTGGCAGTAGACATCTTTGGGATCATTTTGACTTAGACAGCACACTTTTTCGGCCCAAAACAATGCAGTTTGATAGCGCCTCATATCACAGAATTGCTTTACCAATTTCCTATAGTGTTCGACATCAATGGTACCACCGCCGCTACCATTGGTGGCATCACTGGCGCTGCTAGTATTGTTACGCATTTCACTATCACCAGTCATGGTGTAATCGGCACGCAAGTTACTGATTTACTCAATTAATAGGGCTTTGGTCCTGATAATCCTGTCCAACCAATGTGTCCAACTCAATTCACTTGGTCTCTTGATGTGAGCGCGCGGGAAACCAAAATGAAAAACGTCCCCAATATAAGAAAGGCAAAAAGAAAGAATGAACGGTGAAACATAAAGAGAAAGCAAAATCCCTGAGTACGTCTTTTGTTTACGAATAAGAAATTAGGAAAAATGCGCAATCAGCTGGAAGGATTCATTAAATGAGCAGAGGAACCAGCTTTTTCCGGAAAAGCGACATCTGTTTGTCAAATGTGAATTTGATGGGAAACGCTCGTTTTTTTCAAAAAATATAACGTTGCCGTTCGCAAACAGTAAAAAAAAAAAAAAGAAATAACTAAATAAAAAATGGTACAATAATATAGGAAGACAAAAGGCACGTCAGGTTACTTTTCCTGCAAATTGTTACTGGAAGTCTGTTAACCCGAAAGAGAGACATTTTGACATTTCTTTCAGTGACAGTTTGCAAATTCTTGTCGGACAAATTTCTACTTGCAATCACTTGCAACTCTTCTGCTTCTCTTTCATCGACATAGAATCAGATGTTTTTCTATTGGTTGTTTAGTTCTTTTTATGCTTTCAAATTGCCGATGACTTAAGCCAACCAAATATGCTCTTTATGTATTTCCAGCCTAAGGCCTGTTAAAAATGATTTTGTCGGACACATAAATCGTTTTTCGTTATTACAAGTTTCATTTAAGTATGAACTGTTCGATAAGCAAACAGTCAGACCATCTTCCCTTTATCTTTTAACGTATAGTTTACTGAATTCATGATTTGATTATATAGCAATAACAGCAAAAATTATTTAAATAAAAAATGCATAACGCAAATAGTTTATTTTATATTGAAGAACTGAATTATAAATTTATTTCACGAATTTAATCACAAGTTAGCATTTTGTTTATTATTTTTAAACTAAAATGAAGATGCCATTGTGAAAAATGCAGTGAATACCAGTTTCAATAATGTGAACTTTATACTTCACTTTTCCTAAAGTAAGGGATAACAAAAGTGGACTACAAAGGAAAGATATACGAACGGGTCTAAATGTTTTTTTTTTTTTTTTGGAGAACAATTTTACAAAATGTAAAAAAAAACGTAAATATTAATATGTAATAAGACAATAAAAGACTATTTCCAACATTTTTAGACAAACGCCATTAGCAAAACGTTTAAAGGATTCCGGGGAACACATCAAATCTATATTTCTTTTATTGCTCATATTATTATTTTATTGCTAATTTCCTTTTTATTTATAAAACTTGTAAAATTGGTGGTTCTTCTTCTTCTTTTTAATTCTTTTTTTCACTTGAACTGGATCATGGTATAATTATCAAAGGTAGCAGCACATCCCAGCTGATTTGACTCTATAATGCTATTGTCAAATTCGATATGACGTTTTCTGATTCATTTTCTGTTCTTGGTATATAATAGGTATACACTTTTTGATATAAAATTTCAGTCAGGACAATGTGAACATATTTTTTGCCTAATAATAGAAAACCACTGTTATAATTTACAAAACGCCAACCTCAATGGCGCCGAAACTTTTTTTCGTGGTAATATTAACATATATTTCATGTTTCATAAAATATCAGAATTTATAATCCTTTAATGCATATATGCAGTTTGGGGTAATATTACATGTTTGGTGCAAAATATAAGTGAAATTAGATAAAAATATATATGGAAATTACACATATATTTAGACAAATTTCACTAGGGTTTGTCCTTGTACCAACAAATGTTTTGTAGAGAATTGAATTGTAATTGGACAATAATTGCGACCTGTACTTTGTTAACAAAAATACATGAAAAGACGGACAAACCTGTATACATCGACCCATAGGAAAGGTATTGACCAATATATCCCATCTTCACACCAGATGTTGTGGTAGTAATTGTTCGAAAATTGCTAAATGGTACTTATTTTGGATCACTTTTGGTGTCTATGATGGAGATATGTACACTGTTTTGGGTATGCGTAATAAATATTGTCATATTTAGCATTGAATGAAGGGATAGAGCAAACATTCTTCAATTTGATTTTGGTATCACAGTTGGACTTACATATGGAGACGTTGAAATGGTTTTGGAAAGAAGAATTGGATATGGGTCCATCGTGCAATGGTTTTACTAATATCCACGTCGTTTATTTTAAAATAAAAAATTTTGAAGACTTTTTGGTGAAATTTGGTGTAAACATTTCCTTAATCATGGCTAAATAAGAAAGGTTGATCAACTTCAAGAAAACTAGCAAAATTCAATTCTTTACTGTAACATTATTGTTTCATCCCAAAATTATACATTTTATTGCCCTTTAACGTGAAAAAATATGCATTTCGGTTGTCTATAATTTGAAATAATTTTTAAATTATTTTCTTCTTTATTCATAACAATACACACAGACACACAAACTGAGTATATGTTTTGACAGAATAGGGGCACCAAAAGAAAAATATGTATTTATGGGGTAGTTTTGTTCTACCTTCTGTAATTGTGCCATGTCCTAATTATTCTTTTCGAAGAAGAAAAAACTTGAATAATATATAAAACCTTGATAGTCTGAAAATTTAGTACTATATTAAGTTTTGATATAAAAATATTGTTCAACTTAAAAAAATTTGCATTTTTAGTACTAACAAGTTAAAAAGCAGTAAGTTCGGCCGGGCCTAACTTTGAATACCCTCCAACATTTGGAACGAATTTGGAAATTTTCAAAAAATAAAATCCTTAAAAAATTCTGTTAAAATTTTAAAAGTACTGAATATAGCCGTTATATTGGGGTCTATACGACGTGGACCTACATAGGCATTGTTTGCCATTAGCCATTGCCATATTCAAATTCGAAACTTGAAATAAACGGTGAATAATGTAGCTAAAATCATCAAAATATCGTATATAGGGATTTACCGGTATATCGGATCTGTGCGAAGACCTGGGCCAGTATAGACAATTTTCTGTCACAGGCTATAGCATCCATTACTAACGTCAAATACGATATCTCAAACAATTTCGGTAGGTATTGTACCTAAACTCGTCAAAATACCGAATATAGGGAGGTACTGATGTATGGGGCCTATACGAAGACCTGGGTCTGCATAGGCAATTTTCTGTCACAGAATGTAGTTCCCATTACGAACTCTAAATACGTAATTTGAAACAATTCCGGTAATGACGCTTAAATCATCAAAATACCGAATTTTGGGAGGTGCCGTTATATGGGGTCTATACGAAGACGTAGACCTGCACATACAATTTTCTGTCATAGGCTGTAGTATCCATTACGAATCTAAAATTCCAAATTTGAAACAATTCCGGTGAATAATGTCGCTAAAATCGTCAAAATACCGAATATAGGGAGGTACCGTTATATGGGGGCTATATGAAAACGTGGACCTACATGGCCCATTTACGAACTTAACCTGCATATTGGAAAAATAAACATATAGCCTTCTATCTCAATTCGTTGGAAAGATAGCGTGATTACAACAGGCAGACGGACATGGCTAAATCGACTTAGAATTTTACGCTGATCAAGAATATATATATATATATATATATATATATATATATATATATATATATATATATATATATATATATATATATATATATATATACTTTGTTGGGTCTGACATGACCATTTCCATAGTATGGTGGAGGGTATAAAAAGGCCAAATTCGAACTGTTTAAATGAATCTAAAAGGTGAATCTTGAGGTGGACTTTACAATGAAGATAAGGTAGGGTAGGTACCTGAATACAATTTTTTCTTTTGGTAGTCTTGTAACGTCATTATATGTATACAGTATGTGTAATATTGTTTTGAATAATAAAAAAAATTAAAAAATGTTCCAATTCTGTTGAAATTTAAATTCATATTACAGTTTTTTGGAAGAACAAATGTTTCCGCTTTGATAGTATAGTTGCTGCATTTGTTACTGGTAAAATTGAAAAAATATTTCGTGTTTTTAAAATTTAATCATTCTGCCCTACCTTGTAATTATTGTACCATGCTTGCTTGTTTATCATAAATCCCAAAACATCAATAGTTTTAATACAAAACACAACGCAATGGCAACTCATGAGTAGCATCAAACATGTTTCAATCGAACATGTATGATGTTACAACACTCCTTTACCATTAGACCAACTAGTCAAGCAACCAGCGAACGAACAAACTTGACTTAACATCACGCAAATCCTCAAAATCCTGCAAACATCAGCGACACAGTATCACAGTCTCTTGGTTTTATTCGAAAGGTGAGGTTTTATTTTCCAAAAGCGCTCTATCGCCAACACCAATGGACAGACGTTAGAAGCTATTAGGAAAGAAAAACTAAAGAAAACTGGTCTTCTATTGTATTTTCTGGCCATTAAAGACTTTTAGCAAAAAAGTGAAAATAATAGTATTTTTAACTTTAAACTGTGTCGTGGACCAAAAAATTGGAAATTGAAAAATAAAAACATGTGTTTTCTTATTTGCAGTTTTTAAAAGACAAAACCCAAAAGACTTCCATATATTTTTATGTATTATTTCTTGTGATAAAAAAATCTGTAAATCTGTTGTAAAAAAGAAGTGAACTGAGGCCCAACGAGAATCCCCCAACAGGAAAAAAGGGAACATAAACGAAAATTAAATCTCAAGCAAATGAACATTAGCAGCAGCAGCAGTGTGGTTGTAAATTTTGTTGTACTATTTGTATAATTTGTAATTCCCTTTTTTGCCTGTCCAAACAACCGACCGAACGACCTACCGACAAACCAAGCCGAGAAAAAAGAGGAACTCTAAGAAAAAACCATACGAACAAGTGTCAAAAAGAGCTCGGAAGGCAGGCAAGTAGGAAGAGTCGTCATCATCACCAGTATTACAGAATTCCGACACGGAGCGTAACATTTTTTACAACTAACGGTGAATGAAATTTTTTATGCGTTTCATCTGTTCATTCGGTGACTTTTATTGTAAAACTTTTTTAAAAATACCAACAACTACAAATGCTAGTGCTATTGGTTTTGGGTTAGTGTGAGTGTGTATGAAATTGTTGTTGTTAGTGAGTGATTTTTTTTTTTTTTTGGAAATAATGTACTGAGATTATTAAAAAGTAACAAAAACCACAACATTGTTCTCCATCTCCATTGATTGGAAATCGAAAAATGTGCTTTGACTTCAACATCATCCCACTACGACCCATAAGGCTGACGCTGTGATTTCGACGGAGAAGTGCATTTGGAAAAGAGAAGAGGTGTAGCAAATAAAATTGTTGCTCTACTCCCTCTCTCGTCGTGTTACAGACATTTTCGCTTTGGCACGTTGTCGCAAAGGCAGGTTAGTAAATATTTCGACAAGTATTGCAATTTTTGTTGGTTTATTTAGTTGTTGTTTTTGTTGTTCTTATCATTGTCCCAATAAAAATGTTTCCCAAAATCATTTATAACTTTTAATTAAAAATAAGACTCTCCAAACTCTTGAAGTAATAGAGAACGAATGGCCTGCGAAGAGAAAGAGAAATGTAGAGCAGAACACACTACCGACTTCAACAAATTCATTGAAATTCAAGTTCGACATTAGAACACTTTGTCATCCGATGAACAGTAATTGTTGAAGAGATAGAAGAGGGGGGAGGCTGGCGGCAGAGTGGCCTCTTTGTTTAACCCTCAGTCTGTGAATAAAAAAAGAGGAAGGTATATTGTATTGGGGTCAAATTTGCACATATAAAGTGTTAACAGCTTTGCATGAGGATGAAAGGCTCTTTTTAATAGTTTCGATAAGTCTCCAGTTAGAATTTGCCTGAAAATGATAGGCAAATTCTAACTGGAGACTTATCGAAACTATTAAAAGAGCCTTTCATCCTCATGCAAAGCTGTTAACACTTTATATGGGCAAATTTGACCCCAATACAATATACCTTCCTCTTTTTTTATACACAGACTGAGGGTTAAACAAGAGGCCACAACAAAACAAAGAAAGACCGCTTCAATACTAATTTTTGTAATTTAAATTGGATTTTTTATAAAAATATTCACAATGGCTTTAAGATAAAACTACTTATGTTGACGTATTGTCGGAGTTATGATTAAGCGTTTATATGCCATTTTTCAGATACAGGTTTTTTGGCATGCTCTTCCTAAATTCTTGGTCAGATTTCCGATATTTGCTAAATTTTTAAAGATATCCATATACGGGGCCTAAATATATATAATAGAGGGTTAGGCTGGTGGCAGAGTTCCTCATTTGTTTAACCCTCAGTCTGTTTCTAAAAATAGGAAATCATATTGCACTGGGGTCAAATTTGTGCAAAAAATATTAAAAGCATTGCATGTGGAATACTTTGTTTTATGATAATGTTGTAGTCCAAAATAAGTCTTGATTTAAATCTCCACGAAAATATTCAAACAAAAATTGCTTCTAAAATAATTTTGATAACATACATTAGAGATTTTTTTTAAATCAACGGCTTTAAAATAGAACTTCAAATGTTGGATATCGTCGGCGCCAGTCTTATTTGGTCAGTTTACCAATATCAATTTTTAAGATATCCACAAATAGTTAAATGAAGTAAAAAGTATAAAAATACATTTCCAAAATCAGAATATTATTATACCCTACAACACTTTGTGTTGGGGAAATTGAAAATGGAGGTAGGGTTATGGTCAGAATAGAATAGGGTTGAAATGGGCCAAAAACTGAAAAATTTTCTGATTTTGCAATTGCTCCTCAGGTCGCGGAAGTTAGCATGAGGCTAGAGGTAAGGACTTGGCAGAAGCCTTAAAATTTGGATGGTCATCGGGTAATATTTAGTGGGTGAAATAGGCCATAACATTTGTGTGAAATAAAAGTCCAATTTTCTTATTAATATTTGTAATCCCGGCGAAATCACAAATAGAGGAAAAGGTCAATTCTGACCCCTATGTAGATGCCGATATCGGATACATATAGCGGAGTATATACAATTTGTATATACAAGGGAAAGGGATGTTAGCAAGAATGCTGGACCGATTTTGACAAATTTTGTCAATTCAGAAAGCCCTCTTGCAATAAAAGAATAAAATCTAAAAAAATGTATAAAAAAATGCCAACAACGATGTTAATATAGATTTTGTGGTATTTTGTGACATATTTTTATTTTTTCACTAGCTGGCCCGGTCCGCGTTGCCGGCCCGTAGTTTTTGTCTATTATGCATATATTCCCAAGCATAATTATTCACAGATATGACTGATATAAGTGTTCACGTACATGTCGATTTAAAGTGTTTTAAAATACCTGTACCCATTTTTAACCAGTGGGCTTCAATATTTAAACCGTGGGCTTCAACTGTGTGGATGTGCTATACAAATCTATTAAAAAGTATATATCAATCTTATCGCCATATAAGGGATCAAATTAATTTTTAATATGGTAAAAATCGTAGCAAAATCTTCCAGTCAAATGAGCAGTAATTTGGAATTTGCTGTATTTTGTATACTACATAATTGAGGGCTGAATGATTTAAGAATAACCAAAGTTAATTACTTTTTTAAACCCATTAGCAACTTGGATTGTGCATTAGAGTCCTCATAAGTCCCCCTAACCATGTCAGTCTGTTTGTCCGCCAAAAGGTGGACTTGAGAGGGTATTATAACATGGATAAAAATTCTAAAATTTGTAGATATGTTGAAATTTTAGTGTAAGATTTTCACACCCCTAATACGCATTATTATCCAAATTCTTTGAAATGTGGTTAAATTAGGAGGTACCTTCTTTATATGGGCACTACTCCGAAACATCGACCTACATTGAAAACTTTCTTCTACCCCTTATAATCCAAGATGACAAATAGAGGCCAAATCAAAATATAGCAGAACAATATAGCATGTCATAGCATTTCGCGTGATTTAAATAAGTAAAATAGTTTTATCCACCTCATAATTGAGGGCAGAATGATAAGATGGGAATTAATTTTATTTGCCATTTAAATTGTAAGTTGGAGACCCCTTAAAGTCCATATTTTCATCATAGGATAATTCAATGATGATTAAACAAATATTCGGTCCCGTGCTACTTTCTTATATTTGTAATTTGTTCATGTTTCCACAATTTATTTCATATGGATGCACATCCCAAATCTACGTTCCCAACCAATATTCTCTTGGGGGTTAAAAATTCAATAGAATACAAAATTTTCTTTTCTGACCACACATTAGATGTGAAAGTGGACTTGGGGATACTCCAATGTGGGGACTTTACTTAAATAAATTCCTATGTGGCAATTATCTGTATGATGGTTCCCTACCCCAGGGTGGCATAAATAAAATTTTTTAGCCAAATCAATTGATGAATGTGGTCAATACCAATATGGGCCCTACTCTGAAAATTTCAAATTTTAAGCGAAGAGGTTATCTACCCCCTTAGAAACAAAAATGTCAAATAAGGGCCAAAAAATGAAAAAAGTGACCAAGACCCCAAAAATAACTTAAATCATAGATGGTTATATAAATATGAAATCGGGTTGTTCCCTTATCCGTGAGTTATGATCGATATAAAGACCTGCAAAAGTGATTTTAGGTATTTTGAATGTTTGGGAAGAATTTCTGGAAGGATATAAAACCTTTTCTTACTAAAAGTCCCATTCGCTCTACTATTTTGCACCTTTTATTTCAATATTGGTATATTACTTATTATTCTCCCAAAGAATTTTGCATTTTGAGCTCTCATTGGACGGATCATTGTCACGCTTTGAAATGAGCCCCATTAAGCTTTTTCGGTCATTTTTGTTTGTTTAAATGTGTTCGCATCTTCCAGCTAACCCACGATGTAGGCCCTAGAGTTGAAAGGTAGATGTCAGTTAACATCCTATTTCGCACTTATTTAATTTTTTAGTGAAAAATTATTCTTTATTTTGTTCACAAAAAATCCACTGAATTCAATATGATAATACAAATTGAAAAAAAAAAAAATTGACAAAAAAAGAATAACAAATTGAAAAAGTCTTCAACTTTTTCGCTGATTTTTTACAGCAAATGTTTTACGATCCTTCCTTACAAAGTTTGTCAATAGAATGTACTATTACTTTAAAATTCGATTCCATTGAAAATGTTTTTTTGATTTTTGCAATGAGATCTCTTTTTCATGATTTTTCAGCGATTTAGAAAAAGTAATTATCTTTTAACTTTGGTGTGACCGCGTTAAATTATTTCGATATCATCTATTCCGTTTCGCCACCACATAATTCGCTACTACACTTCCATGTAACCCGCCATCAATTTCAGTTCTCAAGAAATCAAGTCAATTAAATAAATTGGTTTTAATATTCGAATTCAAAAATAAAAACTAAAAAACACTACAAATGTACATTAGAAAAAAGCCAGTCAAAATAGAAAAAAATCATGCAAAATAAAACATTACTATTGTACATTTGAAAAGTCAAAATGAAATGTTAATATATCACATTTTTACGCGATTTTTTTGGATATTATCCTTTTCGGAGAGGAGACAACTCCGAATTTGTGTGGATCTTTAAAATCAGTCCAGCGGTTCTTAAGTTATAAGCGTAGTAACTAACACAACTTACATTTATATATATAGATATTTTTTATCGCATGCGATTTTTTTTCAATTTGACTTATAATATTGAAGTGTACATTTTGTAATATTTTTTTTACGTTACAACACAGCTTGGGGATATTATATGCAGTTGCAATTATCGTCCGATGCTCACGAAAATTTTCACAAGCGTAGGGTTAGGCTCAAAAGGGCTAGACCTATTGTTTTCAAAGATGTCCGCAATATATTTAGTGGTTGAAATTGACCAACAACTAAAAATGTTCCTGGTTAAAGGTCACAAATAGAAACCAAAGGACAGGAAATCTCGCATGAAGTTAGAGTTTAGGACAGCGGGTAGAATAGACCACTAATTGTGTGTGAAAAATGCCAACATTACTTTCAGGCGATATCCGAAATACATTCTGGCTTTTTGATACTGATTTCGTTGACGAATATAGCCAAATATTGTAGACAAGGAAATCATGTAGACGAGACTAAATTTGGGGATAGGTATGAGCCCCTTGCATTCGCAAAATATTTAGGGGTTCAAATGGATTATATTTAGCTGTAAAATGGATCACAACAACTAACAGCACGACGGAGTGCGTAAATATTGGGCAAATGTCCCTGGTCAAAATGCTAAGGGTAATATCTGGATTAGTTGTGATCTAGATCCAAAATGGATATGTCCAAATCCAAATTAATGGGGGCTTCTAACATATTGTAGTATTGTAGGGTATCACATGGTCGGCCCTGTACAGCTATAGCCTTTGCTTACTTGTTTTTTGAATAAATAATTATAATTATGGAAATTTGTTCCGTGTGATAATTTTTTTTTGCAATTGTGTTAAAAGAGTAAATAACGAACAATTTGTCCAATACGCGTACAAATAAATTATTCCAGATATATTATTATTATTCCTTTACTATTCCAGTCATAAATATTAAAATAAATAATACGTATTTTTTATCTAGTTTCAAATTTATTCTAAAAAGTATGTGGACTTCTTCTATTTGGCGTCAGCGTTTCGAGCAAGCCTCTTCCATAATTATGTTTTTCTAAATATTCGCAATGTTGGACTAATGAAATTTTTTTTTAGAAAATCGCAGTTATATTATGCCGATTAAACAAAGACCGCACATCTGGCTTTCAGAATTTATGGTAATTCACTATTCCATTTGTCTACTGATCATCGGATCCTCACGCGAAAAATGCTTGATCTACTTTCCAAAAACAAAGGATTTAGCAAACAATCTATGCGAAACTTCAATTACTTTCACAAAGTCGCCTAAAATGTCTATTGGTCAAATTTGTTCTCAGAAACTTTTTTAACATGATCTAAAAGCCTTAACACATACTTAAGCTTGTTTGTAGTGTAAATCATGGGTTGGGTAAAAGTGTAAAAGAATAACGAACAATAAATTTCGAATTGCATTCTTTACATTCTGAGCCAGCAAATAAATTAAGTCAGAGATAATAAATAATTATTTTGCATTTTATAAGACTTAAAAGATTTAATATTTTGACTTCTATTGGAATTTTAGATTGATTTCAACAGTACGTGTTAGGCCTCTTTAGTACTCAAAGTACACAATTTGTTCAGTTTGAAAACTTTTTTAATCCAAACGTCATGCATTGTACTAAATTTTTAGACTTTTTAGGTTTTCTAAATTATTGTATAGAATAATCGGAATATGTTTATCTTTTATACCAAAAAGTCTTCGGAATCTTTCATTTCGAAGTTTATCGAGGAGGATAAAAGTAAAACCATTGCAAAATGGATCCACATCCAATTTTTCTGTACAAAAGTATTTCAACGTATCCCTGGAAACCTCAATGTCAAATTTAGTAATATTTAGTATGCATATCCGAAAAAATCTACATCACTCCATCCTACGATTTAATATTTTTTCGAACAATTGTAGTAGGTATTTGAAAAACCACCACGAGATACGAAATTTCGGGATTCCAGCTCTATTCATTTAGTCAATACGGAATTTAGTACCATTTTAATACTAATACCAAATCTCAAACACAGAAACTGCCTCCATATGTCCAGACTAAACATAAGCAGCGACCCTGATACCAAAATTTAGTATATAAGCATTATCTGTTCACCTAATACCAAATTGTACAAAATATAGTACAATTTAGTAGTTTTTATGTAGTACATATTGTCATGTGTATGTAAAAATTATAATTCTACACCACATACACCCAGAGAAAAAATGACAACATCCGTGTATGAAATGACCACATCCGTGTATGATAGTGTATCAACCACGTTTGGTGTCAAAATGAGCACGCTGTTGTCATTTTGACACCGAGATTTTGGCAACGATTTCAACAACAGATGTGCATGAAATGAGCACATACGTGGTCATTTCGAGCACGCCCCGTTGTCAGATTGTCAACGCTTCGTTGTCAGATCGTCAACGCTTCGTTGTCAGATTGTCAACGCTCCGTTGTCGGATTGTCAACGCCCGTTGTCAGATTGAAATCAATGGTGGTCATTTTTTGATATCCGTTCCTTTTCCATTTTATACCCTTAGTAGAAGAAACGAAATTTTTTGAAAAGTATTTTATTGAACGAAACCAATTACATAAATTCAATATAAATACATATTTGATTTAACAAAACAATTCGAATTACATATATTCAATGTATAGAAACAAATTAAATTAACTTAAATCTGAAATAACTTTTCCATTATTCATAGGATATAAGTGAAATGGGTAAGTAATAAAATCTAAAATTGGTATTAAAAAAATTGTATCCTCATTCAGAGAACCAACTTCATACGATTGTAAATGATAATCAAAGTTTTTAACTTTTACTTGGTTACATAAAATGTAAACATTTTCATTTTCAATTATTAAATGTTTAATTTTGAAAAGTTCAATTGCGGCATTATTTGTTGCTAAATAATAGTTTTTTTTATACCTAGTTCCCTTAAAAAAAATGTCATCAGACACTTTGCAATTTTGGTAATTTAAAACTGGCTTACGTTTTTTTGTAACAATATTCCTCTTTTGCCAAATCTTCGATGGTATGCGTATTAATGATAACATTTGGTTCTAAGTTATCTTCGTGTTTTAATAAAAATTGGAAAATTTCAATCCAGACTTAATAGATAATGAACGACAGGGATTTACTCTTGATGTAGTATTTCCTAAATAGGCTTTTGCTTCCTTGTGTTTAGCTTCGAATCTCATGCTCCAGAGATATTTAAGGGGACCACATTTTCGGATAGCAGTGGGATAGTGGACAAGAAAGTGGTGGTTGCTGCTTTGCTTGTGCTAGGCTCGGAAATCAAAAGCTTTATTCTTTTGGACTTCTTGTTTCTATACTTGGCATAAAGTTTTCCGCTTGCGTTGTTCTTTCCTTTTCTTGAAATGTAATAATAATCCTAAAAATAAAGACATATTATAAGTTAAGAAACTACATAATCAGATACGTTGTTTATATTGTTGTCGTTGTTAATCTTACCCTCATTTCGTTTTCAAGAGGAAAAACGGAACAAATTTCATCCAATATGCGCATATAGTCTTGAGTGTAAAGAGTAACATTGTTGGTTAAAATATCTTCAATAATTATATTAATTATATCATCTCTTTGCTCGTCACTTAATTTCTTATTAACGCTACTACATTCAAGCGCTAGTTTCCCCTTCGAGGTATGTGTTAACAATTCCGTTAGATCCTATATTAAATAAAAAAACTACATTAACTATGCTTACACAAATATTACTCTTACCTTACCTCTGACAAAATTCCTTTGGCTTTTGAGCAGTTCGAACCTGTAGTGTCGGGAGTACCAGGAGTACTTGCAGGTGTCTCGTTGCGTTTCCACCATTCACCTATTTTAGATGGAACTGACATAGTTTCGTCATCAATCCCGAGCTATTGTTATGACAATATTAATACTGAGTTCAACTCTGTAAAACAAATAATACGTACCTTTCGTTTTTTCCAAGCAAAGAGCTTTTCTCTGAATTCAACACGCAGTCCCAATGGTGGCACTGCTTCCTTTAAATCTTCTTTTTTTCAAGTACTGCAAGCTGCGAAATGTTACATGTGATGCTAAAAGAACAAAAAAGAAAATTCTTTGTTAATTACACTGATTAACTGAAAAATTCATTTTTATTTACTTACCTTTTAATTGTTCAAAAAGCGACTCCATATTTATTCCTTTTAAGAACTCCCTTAACATATAATCGTCCTCATTGTTTTCCGCATCTTGACTGCTGCAATGGTTTGTATCGCGAACCACAACAATATTGCCATCGATTTCTAACAACTCACCAATGATATTTTGAGGATCTTGCGAATTATTATTCATTTTCAATAAATTTTTTGCACAATGCGTCCTTTCTCTTTCAATAACACGGAAAAAAAATGTAAATATGCAGCCGATTGCACACGAGTAAAAAAAATGACAACGGTGGTGCATGATTCATACACGGTAGTTGCTAAAATGGCAACGATCGTGTACGATTCATGCACGTCGGTGTACAAAGTAACAACGGTGGTGCATCATTATGCAGGTGGTGGTGCATAATTCATACACGACCGGTGTCATATTGACAACGACCGTGTGTGAATCATGCACCACCGTTGTCATTTTTTTACTCGTGTGTAATCGGCTGCAATTACCAATATTACAAATGGACAAATTAAGCACGGCTGTTGTTGGTACCGAAAGTTGACCACGTCTCGGTGTCAATTTGAGCACGTTCGTGCACAATTCACCAACAGCCGTTGTTGAAAAATATAACAACGGGTCGTTGCGAAAATGACAACATACGTGCTTGATTTCGCAACGGGATTTTTCCCTCAGTGTAGAGGTAAGGGAATTATGTACTTGTGCATTTGTTTGTAACATGGAGAAGGAAGCGAGATAGACCCATAGTTACCGATCCTCAAACTATGGGTCTATCTCTGACTGGATTTATGCATGTCAGTCCATCCGTCTGTCCCTGTATTTGTTTGGTCCTATTGAAATTGGCGAGAATCGTTTCAAATCTAAATATAGCTCCCATATATATCTTCAACCGATTTCGCGTTTATTGCGCACCAAATGGCCAAATGACCTGAAGCAAGTACATCAAATTTGTTGAAAGTCGGTTCCGATATAGCTATAGCTCCCATATATATTTGTTTCTTCCGATTTGGTGATTAAGTTCCTCACATTAGTAATATGCACTTCACAAGAATCATATTTGGTACCAGATAACTCATGAAGCTTAAATATAACTCTGTCCAATTTAATCGAGATCAGATCAGATTTGGATAAAGCTCTCATATATATCTTTATCAGATATCAGGTGCACCAAATGGTTAATATCAGCCCAAATAGACTGAATGTTGGCACTTCCAACGGAATTCAGCCTAGAAGCAATTACTTTAAATTTTTGTGAAAATCGGTCCAGATATAGCTATAGCTCCCATATGTATGATTCAATCAATTTGGTGTTGAAGTCCCTCGCATGCGTAATATGCACTCCACAACAATGATATTTGATACCAGACATCAGATACAGCTCGAAAATATGTCTGCCAAATTTTATCGAGATCGATTCAGATTCTTATGCAGCTCGATATACATCTTCATCCGATTTTTCACCACATATGTATATCAGCCCAATTTGGATAGATTTTTTCGTATTCAACCGAATTTTTCTATTTGGTAAAACTCGGTCCGGTATACCTATTGCTACAATAAATATTTTTATACCCTACAACACTATGTGTTGGGGCCATGATAAGTTTGATTGGGCCAACAATTATGTAACACCTCGAAAATGTGTGCTTCCCACATAGGAATGTATATATGGATCTTCCTATCTCGCCGAGATGAGTCGATCTAGCTATGTATGTCCGTCCGTCCGTCTGTCCATGTTAATTTGTAATCACTCTACAGGTCGCAATTATGGCCCGATCTTCACGAAATTTAGAATGGAGGTGGGGATAGAGCCCAAATGAAACTCTATCAGATGATCGCATAATATTTAGGGGTGGAAATGGACCAAAAACTAAAAAAATCCCTGATTTTGCAATTGTTCTACAGGTTACAATTATAGACCAATCGAAGCGGAAGTTAGCATGGGGCTAGAGCTTAAGGCTGGGCAGAAGCCTTCCAATTTTGATGATCATCGGGTAATATTTAGTGGGTTAAATATGCCATAACATTTGTGTTAAATAAAAGTCAAAATTTCCATTAAACGAATCCCGAATATTATTAATCCCGACGAAATCACAAAAAGACGAACAGGTCAATTCTGACCGTTACGTAGATGCCGATAGTAAACATATCGGATACATATAGCGAAATATATACAATGTATGTATACAAAGGGGATGTTAGTTAGAATGCTTATATCTCAATAATGGCTGGACCGATTTTGACAATTTTGTAACTTAGAATGCCCCTTTTGGCAATAAACGTATAAAATCTAAAAAAAAACACATAAAAATGCCAATAATGATGCTAATATAGATTTTGTAGTATATGTGAAATTTTTTTTTTAATTTTTAAAATTTTTATCGCGTGCGATTTTTTCAATTTGACTTATAATATTGAAGTGTACATTTTGTAATATTTTTTTTACGTTTCAACACAGGTTGAGGTTGTTATATCCAGATTGCAATTATCGTCCGATCCGCACGAAAGTTTTCACAAGGGTAGGGTTAGGCTCAGAAGGGCTAGGCTAGGGAAATGGCCCAACAATTAAAAATATTC